CAGACTGCCGCTGCAGCCCCTGTGTAACCAACCGCCCTCCTCCCCAAGTTCCATAGCTTCCTCACCCAGATGCCCAAGGACAAGGGGGGCGGGGAGGGGGCGGCTCTGGGCACCCAACCACTGCACCTCAGAGGACTGCCCAAGCAACAGAAGGCTGGCATTCAATAAGTTTTGAAGTGCAGTGTGGCCTTATCCTTCCCTCCTCCACCACCCCTCCTGGGCTACCTTGGCAGTTATCCCCCTATTTCTGTGACTAATTAATAAAGAATGCATGAATCTGAAACAACAATGACTTTATTGCCTCTGCAAGCGGTGATCGAAGGGGGGAGGGGAGGGCGGTTGGCTTACAGGGAAGTAGACTGAACCAAGGGGGCAGGTTTTCATCAAGGAGAAACAAACAGAACTCTCACACCGTAGCCTGGCCAGTTATGAAATTGGTTTTCAAAGCTTCTCTGATGTGCAGCGCACCCTGCTGTGCTCTTCTAACTGCCCTGGTGTCGGGCTGCGCGTAATCAGCAGCCAGGCGATTTGCCTCAACCTCCCACCCTGCCATAAACGTCTCCCCCTTACTCTCACAGATATTGTGGAGCACACAGCAAGCAGTAATAACGGTGGGAATATTGGTTTCGCTGAGGTCTAACCGAGTCAGTAAACTGCGCCAGCGCGCTTTTAAACGTCCAAATGCACATTCTACCACCATTCTGCTCTTGCTCAGCCTATAGTTGAACAGCTCCTGACTACTGTCCAGGGTGCCCGTGTATGGGTTCATGAGCCATGGCATTAAGGAGTAGGCTGGGTCCCCAAAGGATAACTATAGGCATTTCAACATCCCCAATGGTTATTTTCTGGTCTGGAAAGTAAGTCCCTTGCTGCAGCCGTTCAGACAAACCAGAGTTCCGGAAGATGTGAGCGTCATGTACCTTTCCCGGCCATCCCATGTTGATGTTGATGAAACGTCCCTTGTGATCCACCAGTGCTTGCAGCACCATTGAAAAGTACCCCTTTCGATTTATGTACTGGCTGCCTTGGTGCTCCGGTCCGATAGGGATATGCGTTCCGTCTATCACCCCACCTCAGTTAGGGAATCCCACTGCAGCAAAGCCATCCACTATGACCTGCACATTTCCCAGAGTCACTACCCTTGATAGCAGCAGGTCAAAGATCGCTTTGGCTACTTGGATCACAGCAGCCCCCACAGTAGATTTACCCACTCCAAATTGATTCCCGACTGACCGGTAGCTGTCTGGCGTTGCAAGCTTCCATAGGGCTATCACCACTCGCTTGTGAACTGTGAGGGCTGCTCTTATCTTGGTATTCTTGCACTTCAGGGCAGGGGAAAGCAAGTCACAAAGTTCCATGAAAGTGCCCTTACGCATGCAAAAGTTTCACAGCCACTGGGAATCATCCCAGACCTGCAACACTATGCAGTCCCACCAGTCTGTGCTTGTTTCCCGGGCCCAGAATAGGCGTTCCACGGCATGAACCTACCCCATTACCACCATGATGTTCAAATTGCCAGGTCCCGTGCTTTGAGAGAAGTCTGTGTCCATGTCCTCATCACTCTCGTCACCGAGCTGCCATCGCCTCCTCGCCTGCTTTTGCAGGTTCTGGTGCTGCATATACTGCAGGATAATGCGTGAGGTGATTACAGTGCGCATAACTGCCGCGGTGATCTGAGTGGGCTCCATGCTTGCCGTGGTATGGCGTCTGCAGAAGAGCAGAGTGGCAGTGGAAGCGTGACGATGGTTTTCATCCCTATTGTACCTTCCGCTGCCAGAACAGGAGAGCAGAGTGGCAGCGGAAGCGTGACAATGGTTTACAGCCCTATTGTACCGTCTGCTGCCAGCAGCACCCAGGACACAACAGCGGTGGCTGAGCTGAGCGGGCTGCACGCTTGCCGTGGTATGGCGTCTGCGCGGAAAAAAGGCGCAAAACGATTGTCTGCCGTTGCTCTCACGGAGGGAGGGGCGACTGACGACATGTACCCCCAAACCACCCGCGACAATGTTTTTGCCCCATCAGGCAGTGGGAGCTCAACCCAGAATTCCAATGGGCGGCGGAGACAGCGGGAACTGTGGGATAGCTACCCACAGTTCAACGCTCCGAAAGTCGATGCTAGCCTCGGTACTGTGAACACACTCCGCCGACTTAATGCGCTTAGTGGAGACACACAATCGACTGTATAAAATCACTTCCTAAAAAATCGACTTCTATAAATTCGACCTAATTTCGTAGTGTGGACATACCCTTAAAGAGTTGGGTTTTTCTCTGTTTCTCTTAAATACTTCAAGTCCACTGAAAATCTAAAAAAAAGTGTGTGTGTATATATATATATATATATATATAGAGAGAGAGAGAGAGAGAGAGAGAAAATTTTCCACCAAATTACTCTATATAGGACCTGGAAAAAAATTAACTAAAAGAGATGGGAGGGGAAAAAAATCAATGTACAGTGTAACAGAAGAATTGCAGAACACAGGTTACTGGGGGTGGGGGGCTCGAGCCAGTTGTGTGTTGTTTTGTTGAAGAAAACCCTAAATATTGAACCTGGCCCTTTTTGCTGCAGACCTTATCTGGCAGAACGGTCACAACATACCTGTTTGTGTGTACTTACATTATTACTAAAAATAAATTATGGAATTTTTATAAAAACACCCCCTCAGAATGGGATTGGCTTGTTCTGGGCTTGCTGTGAAAGGCAAAGCAGATTTGTTATGTTTTGAGACTTGGCAACACCAGGGCACCAGGCCTGGGACTCCCCGGAGATGGACCTGTCTGAAAGTCATCGATTTCCATGCTAACAAGTTCTGTTCTATGCTGTGTTCCTGTCAACTAATAAACCTTCTGTTTTACACGCTGGCTGAGAGTCACTGCTGAGTGCAAAGTGGGGGTGCAGGGCCCTTTAGCTTCCTCAGGGGTGGACCCTGCAGGAAGTGCACGGACAGAGATGCTGAAGGCTCCGAGGTCAGACCCAGGAAGGCCATAGCCGAGGAGGTTTCTTGCCCTGGACAGCGTGCCCTAAGGGGAGTCACACTAGTCCTGGCTGGCTTCATACAGAGCAGTTCCAGAGCATCGGGGTTGTGACTCCATGACAACTGGTTGCATCTCCCTCCTGGTTCTCAGGTTAGGAAGGGCATCGGCCATGTCTTTCCTGCAGGCAGCTGGAGCAGCCTCACCTGCCCCAAGGGTCTCAGCAAAAGTCTCACATCCTTATTCCCACCACCTAGGCATTGGTGACTCATATAGGCTCACGTACAACATAACAAGAGGAAAAACCCACCTCATCACATATGCAGCTCACAACTTGTCCATGTCTCTGTGGTGAGGGGACAGGTACCCTGCAGCATTGGGGAAGGTGCACCGGGGTGGGAGCCAGGAGACCACCGGGTCTGGTCTTCAATCTTCAACTGACCACAATTTCCATGCAGATTCCCTCTCCCCTCTTCACTTACGTTCTGAATTCAAACCCGGCTGATGACTCATGGAGGTAAAGTTAGTATGTGATCATGCAATTAAAGGATGGTGTCATAATGCACATGGCCCAGTGCGCAGAGTTAAGGTTGTTCAGGAAACCTTAAATGTGGCAATTGTTGATTCTGGAGGGTTTGACTCTGCAGCCTTCCCGCTCAGCCTGCAAACCTGCCCATGTGTTACACAAGCCATGGCACCGTGGGAGGAGCGGGCATGATGGGGAACGCCTGCGTTTACTGCCCCTTGCGCCATAGCTGAATGGTGAGGACAGCTTTGCACTAAAATGCCTGATTACAAGGATCTTTTCTCAGTGTGTGAATTAAATAAGCTAGATTCAAAAGAAGACTGGAGAACGAGAAATTCCATCCCGTGCCCCCCAGTGGGTCCCCAGTCAGGATTGAACCAGGGACCTTCTAATGCCCCTGCAGGGACCCTGCCCCCCCAGCTGAAGGAGACACTGTTAGTGGTTATGTGGCCTGGCCACTAGAGAGGGACGTGACACAGGTTTTGTTTATACAGCCGTTGGCTAGAGGACAGTAGAAAGTTGGGGATCAGGAAGTTTTGGCTCTATCCCTAGCTCTGGCAGGGGAGTAGGGGGCTAGTGGTTAGATCAGGGGGCTGGGAGCCAGGACTCCTGGTGTCACTGGGTGGCGCCCATCCGTTGCTCTGACACTGCGAGTAAGATTGCCAACTTTTTATTTGTAGAAAACCGAACATCCTTGCCCCGCCCCCTGCCCTGCCCCACCCCTTCTCTGAGGGGGTGAGGGCTCTAACTGGGGGGTGCTGGCTCTGGGGTGGGGCTGAGGGGTTTGGGGTGCAGGAGGGGGGGTCTAGGCTGGGGGTGGAGTGAGGGGGGAGGTAAGGACTCCAGCTTGGGGTGCTGGCTCTGGTGTGGGGCTGGGGATGAGGGATTTGGGGTGTAGGAGGAGGCTCCAGGCTGGGGCAGAGAGGTTCAGAGGGGGATCAGGGCTAGGGCAGGGGGTTAGGGCACAGGAGAGGGTTGGGGTGCAGGCTCCGGGCAGCACTTACCTCAAGAAGCTCCCGGGCGCAGCGGCACGTCCCCCCTCTGGCTCTATAATGTGGACGTGCGGCCAGGGGGCTTTGCGCCCTGCCCCGCCCCTGCAGCTCCCATTGGCCGCGGTTCCTGACCAATGGGAGCTGCAGAGCCGGCGCTTGGGCGGGGGCAGCATGTGGAGCAGAGCCCCCTGGCTGAGCCTACGCCCAGGAGCCGGAGGGGGGGACACGTCACTGCCTCCGGAGCCGCGCGGAGCCAGGGAGCTACCTTGGCCCCGCAGCGCCACTGACCAGACCCACTGACGGGAGCCGGCAGGTCCCTTTTTGAACGACGAACGCCGGACACCCGGCAACGCCGCCCCGCCCGCCCGGGCTAGAGGGGAGCCAACCCCCGTGTCAATCCGAGGTGTCCGCCCCGCCTCCGAAAGCCCCAATTGGACCATTTAAGGAAGCAGGAAATGACGATTGCTGCTGGGGTGGGGGGGGACCGGAAGTGGCCGGAAAGGTACCCGGAAGTTCCCGGGGGTGGCAGTCCCGCCTTGTGCGCTGTTCGGTGCCGGTCACGTGGGGACGGCGCGGTGACGTACCCGGCCCGGCTCGGCTCGGCTCAGCATGGCGGACGCGGCCTCGCAGGTGCTGCTGGGCTCCGGCCTCACCGCGCTCTCGCAGCCGCTCATGTACGTCAAGGTGCTGGTGCAGGTGAGAGCGGGCCGGGACCCCGCCCCCGGACTGACCCCGTGACCCCGCCCCCCCGCGCGCGCAGCGCCCCCCCCCCCGGAGCGGGTCTCGTGGCGGGCCCCTCCCTCGCGCTGCGCCGGGCGGTGACTCTGCGGGGCGCTCGGCCCGCCCCGGTCTCTGCTCTGCTGCTCCCCCGGCCGCTGCCCCAGCCCCCGGGGCTGGCCCCAGAGCGGCGCTGCCCTGCCCGGCAGCCCCAGGGCTCCCCGGTGCCCTCTCCCAGCCCAGGGAGTAACCCCCGTTCTCTGCTCTCCCCGCCCCCCGGGGTGTCTGTGCAGCGCCGAGCACCTCCTGGGGGCTTGAGTGGGCTGCTACAGAAATGATGCGGACCCAGGACTTAGCTCCCCTCAGCTGCCTCCCAGACAGAGCCTTGATAATACTAGAACCACCGATCCCCAAGTGCCCAGGCAGCGTCCGTAAGTGCCCCCCCATGCACCTTGCCCCCCCCCTTTGAACCCCCCCACGACTCTATCCTGCCCCCCTCCCCGCACGTACCCCGGTTTGCTCAGACCACCGAGAGAGCACCCAGCAGTTGTTGAAACAATTTACTCCTAGAGAGGCACAGAAATCCGGGGGGACTAGGAGAGCTCTGCAAATCCCCATGAAGCCGGATCCACTCAGTCACAGGGCGGGGTTTCCGTCCCCGGCTCCCAACCCAGAGCCCTTGCCCTTGCTCGGAGAGCCAGTGCCAGGAGGGGGCGGGGAAGGCGTCTTTCTCCAGTGCAGGATTTCGGCCTTGTTGGGGAAGGTGGCCGGGCAGGAGCCCTTGGGACCAGCACAGAGCTCTCTTCTGTTGTAGAAGAAATGCCTCTTCCTGGGCTTTGCGGCCGTCAGACACTCTGCAAACTGCCTGTCGCACTCACAGGCCATCCTGCCGCAGACGCTCTGAGAGCGGCACTCTGTCCCCGATTGGCTACACGCAAACTCATAGGGCTGCCACTTCACTCTCCCCCGGCACTCTAAGGAGACCCTGGCGTGGCGGTAGCAGCAGTCATGGAGGAAGCAACACTGGTCCACTGCGTCTAGGGGTGTCCCGGAGCCCCCGGTTCCACAGTAGCACCCGTACAGGTTGAGAGCGAACAGCGGGGTCCGCAGTCTCTGCCGGTAACACCACAGAGTGAGGCCCAGCTCCAGAAGGCTGCGTCTCCCTCGCCTGCTGCATTGAGCCTCCTGGGCAGACTGTGACAGCAAGGTCACCAGCACCAGCCACATAGCGAATTTCATTGGGTCCATGGGCATCTGCCTTGGGGGAGCCTGACCGGTCTGACACCCAGAGTGGCTGGCTCTCTTTCTGCTGCTCTCTCCTCTAGTCCTGTGCGCCGTAGAACTGCCCAGCTCCCTTCTGCTTCACCTGGTGTCGCTGGCTGGCTATCAGGTCTCAGCCCAGTGTAGGAGCCCGCTTGTGCCATCATTGGCTGGAAAGAGGCGACGTTCCAGCGGCAGGAGAGCATTTAACCCTTGAGCCCCCAGGGCGGTCCCCTGTACTCCCAGACAGTGGCATGATGGAGGCATCTTTCTCTAGATCTGCAGGGCATGCAAGTGTCAGTGGAGAAACCCTTTGAAATCGTTGTAAAGCAAAACCCATTTGTAACCGGAAGGAGCAGCTGAGAGGTCAGCAGAGCTGCCTGCAAACCAGATTGCTGGGAATGGCCCACGCTTGTCAGGGTCATGCCGACCGGCTCTGGCTCTGTCTGGCAGGCGCCCCATGCTCAGCAGCTTTGTATCTAATCCAGTGTCTGGAGTGTTTGGATACCAAGGATGATAAGTGAGAGCTCCAGACATGTGCAGGGCTCTTGACAGATACCGGGTCCCTGGCCTGAGGGAGTTGCCACCTACTCTGGGAATTTGGAATGAACGAGGGTGATATGCTGTGCGCTGGAGGAAGCGGGCCAGGGAGGGGGATGTTGGGGAAGGGTATTGTCCAGAGATGGGAGATGATTTAATTCAGGCTTGGTACTTAATTTTCTTTGGGGATAAAGAATTGAATGTATTTGTGACTCTCCTGTGCCATTCTAAAGGGCAGCCACTGGGGCTCGCGGTCTCCCCGTGTCTCGCTGACAAGGGGTTAACCCCCAGGCTGAGCTGAATCCCTCCCACTGGCGGACTGTGGAGGCATTTGGGTCCACCACTAAATATAGCGTCTTTGGCTTCTGAGCCCTTCAATTAGCAGCAGGGCATTGACGGTCCCGGGCCGGAAGAGGCACCAGAAAATCACCAGGCTTTGTTACGGCCCATGGGCAGACTGCTGCAGACTGTCTGTTTGTTTTGAAGGTGGGATATGAGCCGCTTCCTCCGACCCTGGGCAGGAATATGTTTGGGCGACAGGTTTACCAGCTGCCGGGGCTCTTTGCGTACGGTGAGTCCCTGTCTGTGGCATGCACGTGGATTTGGGGATAGGAAAGGAAGCCCCAAAGGGTGGGGGTTGTAGTTACTGGTGTGAAGATGGGGGAGCCCTCTGTGCCTGGGGGGGTGAGGCCAGACCTCTCCGCTGTCTGGATTTCCTGGGGGGATCCCACCCTTGGGCTGTGCCACCAAAGTTGGTGTGTTCTGAGAGAAGGAGTCTGACTTCACCTCCAGATACCCAGTCACCCTGGAGAGAGTGCACTGAGCTGGGAACCAGGGGACCAGGAGTTCAAATCTCACTTCTACTCACTGCTGTCTGTATTTCCATGCACTTCACAGCCCTTATCACTGACCACGATCTCGTACCCCATCCCTAGCTGGCGGACAAGCATTCGCCCTCTCTCTAACAAAGGCATTGATCACAAAGTCATTTCATGAAGCGCTGGGACTAGAGCTCTGGTCTCTAACATTGCAGACCCACTGCCTGTCAGAATGAATGGGCCAAACATCTGTGCCTTGGTTAGCCTATCGCAAAGTCATACGCTGCCCCCCCCCACCCAGGATTCCTGATCTCCAGGGTTCTGCTGTGCGCCCTGCTGGCAAAGCCCTGAGAGCTCACGAGGAGGGGAAAGGCCCGGCAGTTACGCATGAAGGAACAACTCATGTTTCTTTAATCGCACAGCAAGGAAACGACCTTTAAAATAGGCTTTATAGGCTGGGGCAGTGGGGTAAGCGCCCCTCATGCTTGTGTTGTTTCGCAGCTAAGCACATTATGAAGATAGATGGAAGAGCCGGACTCTTCAAAGGTTTGACTCCCAGACTCTGCTCGGGCGCCATCGGCACCATTGTGCACAGCCAGGTGTTACAGGTACGCCAGGCGGGGCTGGAAGGTCGTAGCAAACCCCTCGCGAGCAGCTGCTGCCCCAGGCTGTCTGCCTGGCCACAGCTGGCCCACCCTGGAGGGGTTGGGTAATTCCCAGGGGGCGGTTGTACTTGTTCAGGTCCCTTGTACTCTTGAACCACACAGAGGCGACGTCCGGGGGCTGAGTTTCTGGCCCAGCAGGGTGTCGGCTCTTCTCTCAGGGCTCGCTGTGATTTCTAGCGGGTCCCGGGGCAGTCTCCCCTGTGGGAGTGTTGGAGGCCGCTTGCTGTCAGTCCCCATAGCATTCTGTCCCGTCCCGGCCTACCCAGGCAGCCGCAGCCTGCATGCGGGGGCAGTGAAGCCCTGGTGCTTGCCTGCCCCTCCCTGGCTGCCTGGGCCCAACGAGACCTCCATACCCCAGTGGGCCTTTGCTGTGCTAACCCTGTGCCCTTGTTCCCTAGCGATACCAGGAAGCTGACCAGGAGGAGGTATGTTGGAGCTGGTTTCTGGGTCCTTTCCCTTGTAGGCACCTCTCCAAGGTCTGCCCTGCCCTGGGGAGAGGGGAGATGGTAGGAACGTGCCCTGTCAGGAGCACAGGGGGTTGGGAGATGTCCACCCATGCAAAGCCTGGTGTGTTCGGTGGGGGGGGGGGGTGGCCTGGGCATATGGGCCCAGCGGGCTGCAGGGTGGGCCTGGCCTGGCTAGCTTTTAGGTGCTACTGCACTGGGAATATCAAATAGCAAAGGGGACCAAGGCAGGCCCTGCTGATCTCCATGCTGGCTCTGTGGGAGGGGGCAGTGTCATTCGGGGAGTGGGTAGGGGGGAGCTCTCCTACCTGAACCTCTCTCACTCCCTCTGCCCAGGAGCCTGGGGCCAGCCTCAAGGAGCCCGTGTCCTCGCTGGAGCAGGTCATCAAGGAGGTGAGTGAAGGCCCACGGCCAGGGCAGCGTGTGGGGCTCGCAGATCCTCCATTGCTGGAGCTGGATCCCTCTGGGGTGAAGTGTGTGTCATGCTGTCTGGCGGGCTCACACCCGTGAGTGCCTACCTCAAGGCAGACTGTCAGAAATGGGGCAGCCCCCCCAGGCTGGGAGTGTGTGCTAGAATTAGATTTCATCAAATGTGAGTTCCTGGATCCCTGTAACTGTCTGACCATGGAGTCACAGACAGTCCCCTTAGACTCTCCAGCCTGTCTTGCCATGCAGACAAACTGGACTTAGTGATACGTGGTCACTTACTCCAAAAACCACACCACATTCAGGTTGCTTCCAGTCCCAAGGGACCAGTCACTTAGCCAAGATCACTTGGCACCCTGGGTCTTACACCAAAGACAGGTGTAGCCAGTCCTGTAATAATCTATCTAAAGGTTTATTAACTAGGAAAAAGGAATGAGAGTTTTGTACAGGTTAAAGCAAACAAACATACACACCAATGAGTTACTGTCTGAATCCCAAGAATGACAGAGTTGTAGTGAGCGACAATTCAAAGTGTCTTTCCAGGCAGACCCAGGAGGCAGACCCTGGGGATCTCTGGCTTCAGTTTAGAGTCCCTGGCCCTTCAGAGTTCAAGCAGCTAAAAAAGGGGGACATTTTCCTGTGGCTTTGTCTTATTTCCTTCATTCAGCTCCCAAGCCCACAGGACTAGCTTCCTTGCACCTAGCGTTTCCCAGGTGCGATAGGGCTATTAACCAAGCCTATGTATGGCGATGCTCCTTGATGGCCCATCTGATTTTCCTAGTCCTTGCGGTTGGACGGGGGACAATTCCCGGGCCTGAGTTCACAAGTTCAGGGCAAACATTTTCAGAGTTCTAAAGCAAAACGTACCTATTTCCTTGCGGCGTGGAATACAGACACTACAAGTGAGATGAACCCAGGCAGCAACGGACAAGTGTTCCATAGAGTCTAAACACTACATTTTGGAATTTGGGAGGCGCATGGGCTGTATACCAGGGGTAAGGGAGAGGAAAGACAGAACTGGGGTGGGGTGTCAAATCAGTATCTTAGATGTCTGTATATTAATGCAAGAAGTATGGGGAATAATCAGGAAGAACTCTAAATGCTAGTACATAAAGACAGCTATGACATAGTTGGCATCACGAGACTTGGTGGGATAATATGCATGACTGGAATATTGGTATAGAAGGGTACAGATTGCTCAGGGTGTACAGGCAGGGAAAAAAGGGAGGAGGTGTTGCCTTGTATATTAAAAATGTACACACTTGGACTGAGGTTGAGATGGAAATAGGAGACAGACTTGTTGAAAGTCTCTGGGTAAGGATAAAGGGTAAAAAAACAAGGGTTGTCATGGTAGGGGGCTACTACAGACCCACCTAATGAGGAAGAAGAGGTGGATGAGGCTTTTTTTAAACTAACAAAATCATCCAAAGCACAGGACTTGGTGATGATGGGGGGACTTCAACTACTCAGACATCCGTTGGGAAAATGAGACATTATCCAAGAAGTTCTTGGAATGTATTGGAGACAGTTTTTTATTTCAGAAGATGGAGAGCGCTATTAGGGTGATTTAGATTTGATTTTGACAATAAGGGAGAAACTGGTTGAGAATTTGAAAGTGGAAGGCAGCTTGGGTGAAAGTGATCATGAAATGATAGATCATGATTCTAAGGAATGGTAGGAGGGAGAACAGCACAATAAAGACAATGGATTTCAAGAAGGCAGTCTTACCTACCAACTCCCTGAGTTTGCAGGTAAGATCCCATGGGAAGCAAGTGCAAGGAGAAAAACAATTGAAGATAGTTGGCAGTTTTTCAAAGAGACGTTATTAAGGGCACAAGAGCAAATTATCCCCCTGCATAGGAAAGATAGGAAGTAAGGCAAGAGACCACCCTGGCTTAACCAGGAGATCTTCAATAATCTGAAACTCAAAAAAAGAGTCTTACAAAAAGTGGAAACTAGGTCAAATTACAAAGGATGAAAATAAACAAATAACACAGGTATGTACGGACAAAATTAGAAAGGCCAAGGCACAAAGCGAGATCAAACTAGCTAGAGACATAAAGGGTAACAAGAAAACATTCTACAAATACATTAGAACCAAGAGGAAGACCCAGGAGAGGGTAGGCCCGTTACTCAATGAAGGGGGAAAAACAATAACAGAAAATGTGGAAATGGCAGAGGTGCTTAATGACTTCTTCGTTTCTGTTTTCACCAAGAAGGTTGGTGGTGATTGGACGTCTAAAGTAGTGAATGCCAGTGAAAATGAGGTAGGATCAGAAGCTAAAATAGGGAAAGAACAAGTTAAAAATTACTTAGACAAGTTAGATGTCTTCAAGTCACCAGGGCCTGATGAAATGCATCCTAGAATACTCAAGGAGCTGACTGAGGAGATATCTGAGCCATTAGCGATTATCTTTGAAAAGTCATGGAAGACTGGAAAAGGGCAAATCTAGTGCCAATCTATAAAAAGAGAATAAGGACAACCCAGGGAATTCCAGACCAGTCAGCTTAACTTCTGTACCTGGAAAGATAATGGAGCAAATAATTAGGCAATCAATTTGCAAACATTTAGACGAAAATAAGGTGATAAGTAACAGCATTGATTTGTCAAGAACAAATTGTGTCAAACCAACCTGATAGCTTTCTTTGATAGGGTAACAAGTCTTGTGGATAGGGGGGAAGCAGTAGACGTGATATATCTTGACTTTAGTAAAGCTTTTGATACTTTATGACCTTCTCATAAACAAACTAGGGAAATGCAATCTAGATGGAGCTACTTACTATAAAATAGGTGCATAACTGATTGGAAAACTGTTCCCAGAGAGTAGTTATCAGTGGTTCACAGTCATGCTGGAAGGGCATAACAAGTGGGGTCCCGCAGGGATCTGTTCTGGGTCCGGTTCTGTTCAGTATCTTCAATGATTTAGATAATGGTATAGAGAATACACTTATAAAATTTGCTGACAAGGAGGGGTTGCAAGTGCTTTGGAGGATAGGATTATAATTCAAAATGATCTGGACAAATGGAGAAATGGTCTGAAGTAAATAGGATGAAATTCAATAAGGACAAATGCAAAGTACTCCACTTAGGAAGGAACAATCAGTTGCACACATACAAAATGGGAAATGACTGCTTAGGAAGGAGTACTGCAGAAAGGGATCTGGGGGTCAGAGTGGATCACAAGCTAAATATGAGTCAACAGTGTAACACTGCTGCAAAAAAAGTGAACATCATTCTGGGATGTATTAACAGGAGTGTTGTAAGCAAGACACGAGAAGTAATTCTTCCGCTCTATTCCGCGCTGATTAAGCCTCAACTGGAGTATTGGGCTAGTTTTGGGCGCCACATTTCAGGAAAGATGTGGACAAATTGGAGACAGTCCAGAGAAGAGCAACAAAAATGATGAAAGGTCTAGAAAACATGACTTATGAAGGAAGATTGAAAAAATTGGGTTTATTTAGCCTGGAAAAGAGAAGACTGAGGGGGGACATGATAACAGTTTTCAAGTACATAAAAAGTTGTTACAAGGAGGGAAAAATTGTTCTTAACCGCTGAGGCCAGGACAAGAAGCAATGGGCTTAAATTGCAGCCAGGAAGGCTTAGGTTGGACATTAGGAAAAACTTCCTAACTGGTTAAGCACTGGAATAAATTGCCTAGTGAGGTTGTGGAATCTCCATCATTGGAGATTTTTAAGAGCAGGTTAGACAAACCTGTCGGGGATGTTCTAGATAATACTTAGTCCTGCCATGAGTGCAGGGGCCTGGACTAGATGACTTCTCGAGGTCCCTTCCAGTCCTAAGCTTCTACATAAGCCTTCTTATAAGGCTAATCCCTATCTTGAGCACAACTACCAGACAGGTGACCTGGTCTGGGTTCCGGCTACGAGGTTGTCAGTTCTTAGCCAACACCTGCAGCCTGGGCAAGAGCTGGCGTCTGGCCTGCCAGGGTCACAGTGTGCATCCCCATCTCCCCCTGCTAGAGCCCTCCCTTCTCCTCTCGGCCCAGCGAGTCATCTCCAAGCGCTGCCCCCTTAGCAGGGTCCTGGCTGCCACCTGCTCCCTGGGGTGCCCATTGCTCTATACCTCTCTCCACCCCCCCACCATGGCATCACTCCCCTTCCCTCCTTTCCTGCAGCCTCTTGGCGCATGCCCCTGCCCCACACGCCACACTTCATCAGCAGGGCACTGCATGGCAGCCTGGTGTCCTTCAGGCACTGCCTCCTGCTGCACTCCAGGCGCATCTGGCCGTGTGGCGTGGAGGTCTGGGCTGTGCTAGTGCGAGGCACCCAGTCGCCGATGGGCCAAGCCGCAGGGCTGTGCTGGCTTTGGCCATGTGCCAGCAGCATGGGCAGGGGCAGAGTGGCAAGTGCTGGCTCCTGGCACCTCCCATAGCATGCAGCCTGGGAGCGCTGAGACTCGGCTGCCCCCAGCATTTCCACCTGCCCCGCCTTCTGCCGCCTCTCTCCTACCGCCCCCATGGCCTCCCCCTCCCTGTTTGCTCTCAGCCGCACACGTGCCCTGGCTGAGCCCTAATGGCCCGTGTCTGTTCCAGACCTCCCGAGAGATGGTTGCTCGTTCTGCCGCGACACTCGTCACCCATCCCTTCCACGGTAGGTGCCCGGCGCTGTGGGGGCGGTGGGGTGGGGCTCACACCCAGCCCTGCTCCATGGGATCCAGCCACAGAGACCAGTGCTGAGGTAATGGGATGGGTACAACTCAAGGCCCAGCCGTTCCTCAGCAGAGCTCTGCCCATGGCCAGGAGGCGCCTGGCTGAATCGTCCTGTTAACCTTGGCTGCTGGGGCCTGTGAGCCCGTGCTGATGCCCTGAGTTCAGAGGGCAAAGGCTCCGTGTCTGACCCCACAGGACTGGGGTCGCGGGGGTGCAGCCTGGCTCCCCCACGCTGACCCTGCTGTGTCTGGCTCTGCCCGCAGTGATCACGCTGAGATGCATGGTGCAGTTCATTGGCAGGGAGACCAAGTACAGGTAAGGGCACGGTGAGAGGGGCTGGGACCGGGTGTCCTGCAGGCGCTGCCAGGGCAGTGGGTAGCTGGTGTGGTCTGGGGGAGTGGGGGGAGTTGAGACACGGGTGGCTGGCAGGGGGAGATGCTAACCCGCAGTCCCTTCCCTCGGGAGCCACATGTGACAGCGTCTCTCTCCTCTCTCTTCCGTCGGCTCAGTGGCATCTTCAGCCCCTTTGTCACCATCTACCGGGAAGAGGGCATCCTGGGCTTCTTTGCGTGAGTCCTGTGACCAGGAGGCAGTGGGAGCCCCTGGGAGGCGGGTGTGTGCACCCTGCGGGGGTGGGAACGGGGGAGGGCACCCCTGGGAGGCGGGGGTGGGAGCCCCTGGGAGGCAGGCATGTGCACCCTGCAGGGGTGGGAACGGGGGGAGGGCACCCTTGGGAGGCGGGGGTGGGAACGGGGGCAGGTGCCCTTGGGAGGTGGACGTGTGCACCCTGCAGGGTTGGGAATGGTGGGAGGGCACCCCTGGGAGACAGGGATGGGTGCACTTGGGAGGCGGGCGTGTGCACGCTGCGGGGGTGGGAATGGGGGGAAGGCACCCCTGGGAGGCAGGGGTGGGTGCCCTTGGGACACGGGGGCCCGTCCAGCTTGTCAGGGGGCTCCTGCCAGCCTGGGCCCGGGGGCACCCTGTGTTCACTCACCTGCTGTGTTTCTTTCAGGGGGCTCGTTCCCCGGCTGCTGGGCGACGTGCTGTCGCTGTGGCTCTGTAACATGCTGGCCTACCTCATCAATACCTATGCACTGGAGAACGGGGTAGGCCCCTGCAGCATTGTGCTGGTAGCTGCCCAGGGTGTGGGGCCTGGAGGCAAACGGAGTTCAGGGGGTCTGAGGGGTGACCCGCTCAGCCCGGGAAGGTCCCATCTCCACTGGGCCTGGCCTACGCTCCCCTTTGTGTGCTACTCTCCCAACGCCTGGCCGGGGAGCCTGTCCTAGCAGTGTCCGCGACCCGCGTGGGGGCAGTTTGGGTTTCAGGCCCTGGCGGAG